CAATATATCCCATATGCATGGGGGTAATGATACAAAAGGTTTGCTAGGGTAGACCCTCTTTCACTCAGACTCCGCCCCCCCCCCCCCCCCCCCAAATCAAAATCCAGGCTACGGGCCTGTCTGGAAGGCTGAAAATTCCCTACAGTAGCTCTTTGGGAGACATGGAGAAAAGCAGAATGTGTCTGCTAACCCTCTTTTCTGATATAAAGTCCCACAATTCTATCTTTAAGTTTAAAGAGATGCCAATTCCAATCATGGATTGCAAAGGGCTAATTTAGCCCTTGGAAAAGCATGGTGATTTTACATTTATGAAAAGTGGATTAAAACTAAAAATATTTTTAGGGGACCAGTATGCCTCTTCCTTGAGGAGTAACTAAAATCGTTTATGCATATGTGTTGACATATCGCTCTTGAATATGTTGTTTAACCTCCTTGAACATCTTTTTGGGTGGAAAGGTGGAGGAAAATGTTCATGAACAAAAGAATCATTCTCAAAATAATACCAGAGAGTTGTAAACAGTCATAGTAAAAAGAAGAGAATTTGGACAATTTCAGAGTTATAATCTGGTTGTAATCTATATGTGGTGCTAGAAGAGAAGAGTCAGTGTATTCAACATAATCATCATATTATACCCTTCTTGTTAACCAGAGCACTGGCAGTTGGATTCAGTTTGTGGAAAAGAGAATTTTCATACTTAATGTAGGGAGGGAAGTGATTTAAAGTTATTACATCAAACCAGAGGCGGCCCTCAACGGTAAGCAAACAGTATTTTGTTCCCCCCCCCCCCCAACCAATCATTGATATATATATTCTGTTCATCATGGGAGTTCTGTGTGCCATATTTGGTTCAATTCCATCATTGGTGGAATTCAGAATGCTCTTTGATTTTAGGTGAACTATACATCCCAGTAACTACAACTCGCATATGTCAAGGTCTATTTTCCCCCAAGAGCGCTCCAAGAGCGCCCCTGGGCAAAATCAACTATACTGCAATTGCTTACTTTGCATAATAGAAGTATAGCATCATATTCTGAAATATATTTTTTAGCTCTGTATAGATTCTGTAATTTTTTTTTCTGATGTCTCCATAAAAGTCCAGATGGCTGTCTATAAATTAGAGAAGATGTCCGCAGCCGTATACTATTGCTCTTAAAATTACATCATACTCAACATGGGGGTATACTGGAAACTCCATTAGTATGAATTCTTCATGGAATAAATTATTCTGTCAAATGATTGCTATGCATCACCACATGTTTGAAAAAGAAGGCAGGAAATTAAATCCAGCTCTGTGTATCTGTAGACACTAAAGTTACATATATATTTGTAGAGTAATAAATGCTAGGGTTTCATGATGGAAAATGGCATGTCATAACATGCTTAATGCTTTCTATTTTGAAAATCTTTTGCTTTTGGAACATAGTGTAATGATTACTGGTACTGAGCCAGATTTTTTTCCAAATATAAATTTCAGTTCAAAATATAGTTTTTTTAATATAATACATCAATTTTTTTTTCTAATACAATAGTAATTTTTTTCTATTATTTATGTATTTGCTGTATTTGTATACCACCTTTCTCAGCCAATCGGCGACTCAAGGCGGTTTCCAACAAATCAGTATACATAAAACATAATATAGATAAACAACATTAAACGGTATAAATCATCACAAAAACAGTAAAAACAACATCATCATTGTCTCATTATTCTCAAGCATTGTCCAGTTGTCAGGTCATTTGATTTCCTGTATTAGCTACTCTGTATTTGTAAACGCTTGCTCGAATAGCCACGTTTTAACTTGCCTCCGAAACGTCAAGAGGGAGGGAGCAGATCTGATCTCCCTAGGGAGGGTGTTCCATAGCCGAGGGGCCACCACTGAGAAGGCCCTGTCTCTCGTCCCCGCCAAATGTCTTGTGACAAAGGCGGGACCGAGAGCAGGGTCTCCCCAGATGATCTTAAAGTCCTCAGTGGTTCGTAAGGGGAGTTATGTTCGGACAGGTAAGTTGGGTCAGAACATTTTTTCACTACTTACAACCATTTCCCTTTTACTGAAATCAGGGTGTTGTAAAACATTCTCTCTGTTCTGAAGTGGCAACATCATTCTTGACTTTGACAACTATTTCAGCTTTCTCTGAAATTTCCATTGACTTTCCTCCAGGAATCCATTTTCAGTCATATATTTTTGTTTTGCACATTATTTGGCATTTATTCAGCCTTCTATTTATTAAGACCCGAAACATAGAACACTGAACACAGTTTCTAATGCAGATCAGAATGATCTGTGTCTCCAATTAATTTTCTGTTCAAAAGTCTGTCTCCAGGCATTTATCTTTTTTTTTTTTTTAAATATATCTTTATTAAGTTTTGCATCTTAAAATATACATAGAGGTGAAAGCAGAAAGGGAGAAGGGCAGGATGGGAGGGGTAGACTGAGGGTGGAGAGGGTAGTGAAGACAGGGATTGGGGATGAAGAGGTAGGGGGGAGAAAGAGAGAGGATAGAAGTAGAGAAAGGTGGTTACTTCCCGTCAGTCTTCCAGAAATCTTCTTCTCTGGTTGTTATTGTGATTCATTGTCAGCATGGTCTTTATATTTCTTTTCTTCATATACAAGACAGGTCGATTTGTAAAGGGAGTCCCCTTAATTTAATATAGTCTTTCAAGCCTGACCAGTTTGTACACTTATTTGTCCCTTTTAGATTCTGGGAGAGTCTGTCCATTTGTATAATATCCAGCATTTTGATGTACCAATCTTCTATGCTCGGAATTTCCCTCGACTTCCATACTTTTGCTAATAAAATTCTTGCGGCCGTACTAAGAAGGAAAATTATTTTCTCCTGGTTTTCGTTTAATTTACAGTTTGTGATTCCTAATAGGTACATTTCTGGTGTTTGGGGAAAGTTAGTTTTTATAATTTTTTGCGTTGCCTTATGCACCTCCAGCCAGAATTTCTTAACTGATTTACAGGACCACCATTGATGGAAGAAAGTGCCCCTTTCTTTACCACATTTCCAACACAAATTTGATCCGTTTTTATTAAATTTTGATAATTTTTCTGGAGTAAAATACCAGCGATAGAACATTTTAAACCAATTCTCTCTTAGATCACTGGCTTCTGTGTACTTTATTTTAGTTGTCCAAATTTTTTCCCATTGAGTTGTTAAAATACTGTGTCCTATATCCTTAGCCCACTTCACCTGGCAGTTTTTAATCTGTTCCTCCTCGGTGGACCACGCGAGTAATTGTTGGTAGATAATTTTTATTAATTTCCTTTTTTTCTTCATAACTATTTCCCATACACCTTGATTTTGGCTGAAACCCTGCTTGTTATCTTCTTTATATTCCTGATAAATTTGGTGATAATTTAGCCATGTTATTTTCTTATTTAATTGTTTTATTTCTTCTAGAGATTTTAATGCTAATTGTCCGTCCTCATTTTCCTTTAGTAGTTGTTGATAAGTTAACCAACTCTTTTCCTCTAGTTCCCTCTTATGTTTGGCTTCTGTTGGGGATATCCACAACGGCGTTCTTTGATATAACCTGGGCCGATATTTTTCCCAGGTTCTGATCAGGGCTGCTCTTATGTAGTGGTCTGTGAAGAATTTCTCCACCTTTTTTTTGTTATACCACAGAGGAAGATATATAGGCATTCTAATAGAAATAAAAAGCAAAAAGACTCTAGTGTGTAATATTTATTGCCCTAACGGGCCAAAAATAAAATTCATAAAAGACCTGGTAAAGGAGATAAACAAGGTAGAATATGAAGATCTGCTCTTGATAGGGGACTTCAATGGGGTGGTAGACTGTACCCTAGACAAATTTAAAAATAAGCAAAAAAAGGCCAAAACCAAGAATAAATCCGGGCTATTGCCAAAAGAGTTCCTATCCCAATTAGAAAAATTACAAATAAAAGACGTATGGAGACACCACAACAATGATACAAGCGACTTCACCTTCTATTCAGGCAGACACGATTCGTGGTCTAGGATTGATATGGCCTGGGCCACGAACTCCCTAAACATATTAATAAAAAAGGCCGAGATACTACCAAGGGTCTTTTCGGACCACTGCCCCCTAGAGTTGATAATTAAAGGCAAAGCTTCCCAATTTCGATGGAGACTGAATGAAAACTTACTGAAAAAGGAAATCGACATAGAAAGGAACAAAAAGTTGTTGGTGGAGTACCTAGAATTAAATAAGGGGAACGAAACATCAAAAGTAAATCAGTGGGAAGCAATGAAGGCCGTTATGAGAGGGTATTTCATTCAACAAGAGGCCACCAGGAAAAAGTTAAAAAAAAAAGAGGTAGAAGAAATAATGGAAAGACTAAACAAAAATGAGGTCCTGCTAAAGGGGAAGCCAAAAGATAAGAAACTAATTTATACATCCAAAATATTGAGAAAACAATTAGAACTAGTACAAACAGAGAATCCAGGCATTTATCTTATCATTATCCTATTGGGATTGCTATGCAGTTCCTGCCAAAGACATATCCTTTCTAAAACAAACTCCCCTACAAGGGAAGGGCAAACTGCCAGTGACTGTAATTTCATATTCAAGCTAAAGTTTAAATTATTGTGCAGAATGTCATATCTTCCCACATTTCAGTTAGTATGAAACTGTAACTTTACCCACATTTGTATCCATAACATGATGTTTGAATATAACTCTGGTTGCCATTATATGTTAAGAGAAAAGAAGTGGTCTAGCCAATAAAGCTGTTGAAAAGGAGCTGTGTAAGAACAGCATGAAGTTACTCTAAAAATATGTCCATTGTAGTGATGGAGGGGGCACTTCCTGCCTGACTGCTCAGCTTTGGAAAGTTCCCAGATGTGGTCTATGCAAACCTCATATGTATTTTGTACAGAGACATGATAGAAAACCTCCAGTTCGGAGCTTGGCTTCCCATAAATGCACTACAAATGTCTATGCTGTGAAGTATTAAGTATACAAAAATATATAATGGGCTAAAATTCAACTATAAAGCAGGCTCTTTTTTACCTTAATTCCTCCATCAGAAATATGCTGACACTCCGATATAATAATCTCCTTCAATTTTGACAGTCTGCCAAGAGTTTCCAAAGCCTATAAATGGTAGATGAAACAAATATTAGGTTGTAGTAATTGAATCACTTAGATAACATGATTATTCGACAGAATGTACTTTTTCTTCTTTTAGCATTAATCTCTGCTGTAGGATTTTTTCCCATTTGAAGCTCTAGTTTTCTTTTAAAGCATATACCATTTTATCAAAAGAATGACTTGAAATTATGGACAAGCTTGGAGCCCCCGGTGGTGCAGTGGGTTAGACTCCTGTGCCAGCAGGACTGAAGACCGACAGGTCGCAGGTTCAAATCTGGGGAGAGGCGGATGAGCTCCCTCTATCAGCTCCAGCTCCTCATGCGGGGACATGACAGAAGCCTCCCACAAGGATGATAAAAACATCAAATCATCCAGGCGTCCCCTGGACAACGTCCTTGCAGACGGCCAATTCTCTCACACCAGGAGTCACTCCTGACATGACAAATAAATGGACAAGCTCTCCCTGTTCCCTGTCCTTCCCTGGTTTCCATAATCATAACCTTACCTGCTCACAGCACAACACCCTAGGTCCTTCCACACAGCCATATAACCCTGAATATCTGCTTTGAACTAGTTTATCTGAGTCCACACTGCCATATATTCCAGTTCAAAGCAGAAAATGTGGGATTTCATTAAGCTGTGTGGAAGGGGCCCTTGTTTGAAGAACTGATCTCTTCCTTCTCACTATAACCCTATCTATTTATATACCTTACCTTTACAATTCTAAAAGTTGTGACAGGGCCTCCCCACTTCTCTTTTTAAAATTTATATATTTACTATATGTGTTGCACTCCAGGACAGGAAAAGCCCTCTGACTTTAAACACCACATCGTTGGATATGCAAACAATCCTTTTATTGAAAATAACTAAAAAAGCAGGAAAGTATGGAAAAGAAATTTACATTCCTAACATATTCCATTTAGGATTACCGTGTATTCCGGGGTACAAAACGACTGGGCGTATAAGACCACCCCCCAAATTTTCAACTTAAAATATAGAGTTTAAATTTCCTACTTTTCTATCCTCTAGAATTATTCCCACTCTTTCGCTGTACTTTAGAAAACTTAATAAAATTATTCAAAAAAAAACATAGAGTTAGGGATATACTCACCATATAAGACCCCTCTCCCAACACAATTCTATTTCGGTAACAACGACTCCCAGAATGGTAACGTTGGAGGAGTTGGAGAAAGTAGAGCGGGGAGAGCGGCGTGGGCAGCCCACTGGGCCTGACACTCCTCCTCCCCATGCTCTCCCTCATCCTCCTCCATCCTCCTCCTTCGTCCCTCCTCCTCCTCAGGCTGCGCCGCTAAGGGACTTGTTCCTGCCGCCGCCACTCTCCCTTTCAAGGCCCTCCAAAACTTCCCATATTGCTATTTGCAGGCATCCAGGAGAGGCAGGAAGTAAGCAAGGCCACCCGAGTGGCTGGTAGAAGCCTCCGACGGCCACCGGGCACACTCAGGCCCAAGAAGGAGCCTCTAGACTATGACTCCCAGCAGCCCTGGGCAGTGGTATGCCTTGGATGTGCCCGCTGGGGCATTTTTTATGCCTCCCATTTTTATACCCGGCGTACTAGAGTTTTAATTTAATTTGATTTTCTAGGCCTAAAAAGTCATCTTCTATATACGGTAATTAGTGATTATGCTAAAGTTAATCCATTCTTTTCTATTCTATATGTAGAACGTGGAATCATTTTTTTCAATTTAATTCAATAAATATTTGCAATTTGAATACTCTATATCCACTTCTGGTTTTTTGATTTCAAAACTTTAAGAACTATAGGTAGTACAGATTTCTATGACAATTTGTTTTCACCTGATCTGTGACATCAATTCCGGAAATATTAATGTAAGCCAACGAAGGCATCATTATTAGTGCCTCAACCCCAGAATCAGTTACAGCACGGCAATGAGAGAGATTCAGATAGATCAGACTGTGGCACCTATGAAGACAATAATAATAATAATAATAATAATAATAATAATAATAATAATAATAAAATAATAAACTTTATTTATACCCCGCCACCATCTCCCCAATGGGGACTCAAGAGTGGCTTACATGAGGCCAAGCCCAAACAACAATTACAATAAAGAAAAAACCAAAACACAAACCAAAAATGCGAACAATAAACATTAACATCATAGTTACATAAAACATATGCATACATAACAATATAAAAATTACAATAAGCACAGGTACAATAATAATAGACGGGCTACATTTAATGATTGAAAGACAACTTATTAAAACTAATTAAAAACTCGGGCGAGATAAAAAAGGGAAGCAGGTAATTTGTGGAGAAGAGTTCATTATAGGGGGGGGGGGGTTGTGGAAGCAGGCTTTCCCACAAGGGGGGGGGGGACTAATACTCAAATGACAGAACTTGAGGCTGAGCAATAATGTGAAATTGTATAAAAAAATAACCTTTTTGTTCGTGTCCTTTGTATGTCATACAGCCTTTGACTTCAATGTTCAGCTGAACTGACAGCTATCCAAAAATACATGTCCCAAAATCCCTCTGATCTTGGAGGCCAAGCAGGATTATACCTGGTTAATACTTGGGACAGGGGACCACCAAGAAATACCAGCTGTAGGCTATAATTTCAGAGGAAGGCAATGGCAAGCCATCCCTCAGTATTCCCAGCCTAGGCAAACCCTATGAAATGCATCAGGTCACCAAAAATTGTAAATGCTATGCAAATAGGGATTGTGATTACCTTTTGATATTCTGATAACATTTATGAAAATAATATATAAGTTAATCTTTTTTTAAAAAAAAAAGATAACTAATTGTACTGATTAATCCAATCTTTAAAAAAATAATTCAGCCTTGGAAATGTTCTGAGTCAATACACGTAAACAGGAACTTTGTACTGAGCCGATTTTTAGTGTACTTTTTGTTCTGACTACAGAAGACATATAACAGCTTGATGTGTTGTTATGTGTCTTCAAGTCAACTCTGACTTATGGTGGCCATACCATAGTATTTCATGGAAAGATTTATTCACCGGTTTGCATTGGCCTCCTTCAAGCTGAGAGGATGTCAATAACCTACAATCATCTGAATGAGGATCTGAATGAGGATCTGAACTCTGATCTCCGGGAATCACAGTTCAACATGGAAATCACTACACTATGTTGGAACTCTAAGCTTTTTCCTTCCAGAGTTCATGGATGGCACCAGACCCCATTTTACACTGACCATTTAAGGAAATTCAAAGCTAGCTTCAAACTGCTGCGTCCAGACAACAAATGACCACAAAAGTGCACCAAAGCCCTTAATGTGCTCTCTGGTTTGGCTGATTTAAACTGATTTCAACAAAACAACTTTTTTCAGTATCAGTTTGAAACTCAGACACACAAAGCTGCATTTTTGAAAATAGTTTCAAATGTAATTTTTGCACTTTCAAATTATTATTATATTATTTATTTACCTTATTTATTTATTTACCTTACTTATATACCGCTGTTCTCAGTCCGAAGGCGACTCACAGCGGTTCACAACAAATACGAACAGCAAAAATTCAGTGCTACAGTATAGAAACAGTTAACAACCTAACACATTACACAATTAATAAACAGTTACTACAACACCCATTCACTGTCGTCTCGTCATCAAAAACATGTTCCAGATTAGTCATCCATTGTTCCAGCTCGGGGGTCGCATAACTAGTTAGCATAACTAACTCGGGGGTCGCATAACTAGTTATATGGGGGCATTGAGGGAAGATGCATAATGTTATGCCTTTCTTTTATCAATTTTATATGTCATGTTTATCTATAGAATTTAGGTTTGTTTAATACCATAGTGCAGTAGCTTGTAGCATTCAGATATTAAGTAACTAAATAATAATAATAAACTTTATTTATACCCCGCCACCATCTCCCCAACGGGGACTCGGGGCGGCTTACATGAGGCCAAGCCCAGACAACATATTACAGCAAGATAAAACCAAAACATAAGCAACAAGCAACAGCATTAAAATTACATTAAAAAACATATGAATACAGTAACAAAATAACATTACAATAAACACAATCACAGTGACAGTGGGCAGGCCACATGTGCAGGATAAAATGTTAAAAAAAACTCGAATGAGATAAGAATAGGAGCAAGATTATTTGCAGGGAGCTCATAGAGAAACACAGGGTTGTGAAACTAAACTTCCCATTAAGGGGGCGTGTACTCCAGTGACAAAAGTGTTGAGGGGTTAGGGTTACTTCTAATTAAATATGCTTACATATGAGTGATGGGTTCCAATGAATTCCAGAGCTCAATCACTGTAAATGTCTGGTGTATTATCACCAAAAATATATGCATGAAATGGGAAACAGTACAAGTAAGAATGAATGTATCCAGTCACAACTCTGTCAATATTTCTAATTGCTAAGCATCATCAAAAAAATAACATATTGCAATAGGGTACCTTTGAGCTATTTTGGAAACAGCAATATCACTAACATAGGAACAGTTGGCTAAGATTAATTCCCTTATTCTTGAGCCTGAATGACCGTCAACAAATGTTTTTATTCCTGCATCGCTGATTCTGGAAAGTGAACAGAAAATACTTTCTCTCAAATACTTTCTCTCTTTGTGACCTCATAGACCAGCCCACGCCAGAGCTCCCTGTCAGACATGGCCACCCCCAGCTTCTTCAAGGTCAATCCAGTCACTTCAAAGATCCCATCCATTCATCTTGCCCTTGGTCAACCCCTCTTCCTTTTTCCTTCCTTTTTCTCCAGCATCATTATCTTCATAATACCAATAATAAGTTTTAATAATATTGTACTTATACTAATACACCATTACCAGCCACTGAAATATACATAGTGCTAGTTTTGTGGTTTTTAATTTGTTTAGTTGCAAAAGTGGAAGTCTACTGGAATTCATCCGGTTTATTTTTGACCAGTAATTGAATTACCTCATTAAAATTTGAGCTTTTACTGGGAGCATCCCTAGCTCTGCCCTTACTGCGGCCGTCAGCATTGTTCTGGAAAGACCCAAGAGGATGCAAAGCTGCTTAGCTTGGAAAGTTTCGAACTTGGCCAAATTGTGTTGTATTTTGAAATGGTCACATCACTGGTCAAATAAATAAATAATATTTAGTTGCAAAAGTGTACATACCTACAAACTGAATTTGAGATTAGTTGCAAATATGTTTCATAGAAGACTGACTGATCTAACCACATTTGATGAGAAGTAACACTCCATCATTTTAATACCATTTCATTTCAAGAGCTGATTGCAAGCAAAAACAGCAGCATTCAATATTAAGATAAATTGTGTTTCGTTGAGTAGTTACAGTCTGAATAAAAAATACCTTATGCAATGTGACAAATTCAGTATAGTGATATTTTCCAGGGCTGCAATAAGCTTAAGACCTACATCTGTTATTTTCGGGCAGTCAGCCACACAAATATGTTTTATTTTGGGCCAGAATTTGTTTATCACTTTGAAACTTTGGTCAGTAACACGATTACACCCTGTTGAAAGAACACAATAGCAAACTAGTCAGATTTAGGCAGTATATGCCTTTTCAATCACTGAACAGTATCAGTGAGATACTTCTACTGAAGTAAAAAGAAAACCCTCTTAAATACAAATGGCCATTTTTTTCAGAAAACACTAACCTTCTATCCTCATTTTAACAAGTTTACATTCAGCAAGTGCTTTAAAAGCTGTGTCAGTAACATGTGGAGACTCGTCGAATTCAATAGATACAATTTGTTTGCACTTTTCAGCTAAAGCCTTTAATGAAAAAGAAGTGAAATGTTTATATGTATTGCTTCGCACTACACAAAAGCCATTTTATAAAGATAAACACTAGTTTTTTTATCTTATCTCATTCAAATAAACACTAATATTTAGAAGTGGTCCCAAATTTGACATCAACTCTATATTATGTTCTTGTGCTGCTGCAAAAACAGAATACCTTCCATTAAAAAACCCATATAGCAGAAACACAATCAAATTTTGATAGTGTTTCTATGACTTAATGGTCTGACAGAAAATATACAGCACTGGATATCAGTAGACATATTTTCTGTAAAACTAATTTCTTTATGTATAAAAGTAGCTTTGAAATAAGTCCCAAAATTTAGCAACCTGCTGCATTTCTATACTGCATGAAGCAGAATGATGGAACATCCCATTCCTCCTCTGCTAGTTTGCTCACGTTTCTGCATTATACTCCATGCTTTTGTCTCCATACAATCTGCTTTTGACCGTTACTACCAAACCAGAAGTGAAAAAAAAGCTCTACAAAACCTGAGAGTTAATTCCTTACTTGAATACACCTATCTGTCAGAGTGAGCATTTCATTAATTGTCAGATGTTGAATCCCACTGCAGGCCTTCGCAATATTCTTGAAGCCTTGCACTGTGATCTGATTTTTGGAATAAAAAAAATGTTTAGAAAACTAAACATAAGCAGTATAATAGTCCTATATTTTGCTTGTGTGCCTTCAAGTCATTTCTGACTTATGCGCACCCTATTGTGGGTATTTGTTCACAGGTAGTTTCTCTTTGTCTTCCTCTGAGGGCTGAGATAATGTGACTTGTTCAAAGTCCCTGAGTGGGTTTCCATGGCTGAGTAGCGATTTAAACCCTGGTCTCCAGAGTCATAATCCAGCACTCAAACTGGCTCTCAAAAGTCATATGTCTCTTATGAAAATAATTACAATTTCTACACTGCATGATTAAATATTTCCAAGACATATTTTCTCATATGTTTTCTTTCCAGATGGATTGAAATTATCCCTATTAAAATTAGAGGAATTACCGTATATACTCGAGTATAAGACAACCCAAATATAAGCCGAGGTAGCTAATTTTACCACAAAATACTGGAAAAACGTATTGACTCGAGTATAAGCCGAGGGTGGGAAATGCAGCCGCTACTGGCCAATTTCAAAATAAAAATAGAAACCCATAAAATTACATTAATTGAGGCATCAGTAGGTTCAATGTTTTTGAATATTTACATAAAACTGTAATTTAAGATAAGACTGTCCAACTCTGATTAAACCATTTTTCTAACATTCTTCAATGTAAATGTGCTCACATAAGCTTCCAATAATAATAGAGTAAAATAATAAATGCAATAATAGTAATAATAATAATAATAATAATAATAGAGTAAAATAATGGAAATGCAATAACAGTAATAATAGAATAAAATAATAAATGTAATAATAACAATAATAAAAAGAGTAAAATAACAATAGTAGCAATAACAATTATAAAGCAAAATAATAAATATAATAATAATAGAGTAAAATGATAAATGTTGTAATAATAATAATAATAATAATAATAATAATAATAATAGAGTAAAATAATAAATAACCTTGACTCAAGTATAAGCCGAGGGGGACTTCTTCAGTCTAAAAAAAGAGGTGAAAAACTAGGCTTATACTCGAGTATATACAGTACATGTTGGAGTTACTGTATCACATTAAACCTCCTTGTTTTGAATAAGTCTTAATTTGCAGATAGGAACAGAGAGAACATTCTCTAGTACTATTCACTCACATAGTGAATAGTATACTCACTACCAATCTGGCATTAGTCTGAGTGAGGTCTGAGTGACAGGAATCCAAACAAAGGAGTAAACTGTCCAGCTAACAGCATATAGTGGATGGTTTGGTAACCCACTTGGCCAGGAATGAGATAAGAACATGACTCTTGGAGGAAGATGAAGAGGTCTTTATTTCAGTAAGATACAGAGCAGTTCAAATGGATAGCAAAGGCCAAGGAAATGTCCAATGAAGGGAGGAATTTTTTAAACGTGATAATGGAAGGTTGGGATCCAGATTTTTATTTTTTGACAGGACAATTTGCATGTAATTCTGGAAAGGAAACCAGGCATTGGTGATTGGAAACTAGTTAAAGGATGGGGAAATAATATTTCCTCAAAGCCAAAGATAGACTGCCAAATCAACCGTGGATTTCAGTGGAAAAATCAAAGTAGGTCACCTAATTGTGACAAGACTTATGGCAAGCCAAAATGATCAAGAGTGAGATCATAATGTGGCATTGTTGTTTTTCATTTATAAAAGTTCTAGAGATGGACATAAACATAACTCTGTACTTTTGTCATGATTTTAAAAACTTGCTGGTTGACAACCAAGTGAAATTTTGACTTCTTTGGAAATGAAGCACATGAAGCAGAATCCAAAAGATCCCTTATCATGCCCATTCTGAAAGAGAACGGCAACCACAACCCTGAGGAAGGTTACAATACCATGAAATGAAGGACCCAGGGAAGACTACAGTTGACATATTCCAACCAATGATGGTTAATATCCTACTTTCAGTGGTGGTATTGCAGGCAGAGTCTATCTCTGAAAAACAGAGTAGATTTGGAGGAGTAAAAGATGTCACTTAGACAAGCTGGTGAATTGAGACCTGGGAGAATGTGATTGCTCATGTTGGCACTCTGCAGAGGATCTTGACTTTCTCTAACCAAGGTTGCTTCCAGACAGCAATTTATCCCAGGAGAAAACGGGTTAATGTAATCCGTTTTCTCCTGCATTGCTCTCCGCACGAGTGCCCAAAAGAAGCAAGCTTTCCTGTGTGTTGTTACCATTGGTAGCAACTGCTCTACAATGGGGACAATTCAAATCTCCCCCGCTAAACTCTTTAAAGTAAAATAAAAACTTAGCGGGCCACCATTAAGCCTCTCTGCATGCCTCCTGGAATGTACTAATGTAGTGCCAGGAAGCTGGGGGTGGGGAAAGCAATTGGTATGTTCCAGGAAGCATGCAGAGAGGCTTAATGGTGGCCCAGTAAGTTTTTGTTGTTTCAAAGGCTTTAGAGGGTGATTTGAGAAGGTCATTTTCCACGGGGCTCAAAGAAGTGAATTGGGCTGTGCGAACAAACCCCTCAGTAGTCCTAGGACTATCAAGGGGTCAGTCCCCAGAGGGCCCGTACTTTATTAGACCCGGGTCTTTCAGGAAGACGCAGGTATAATGGCATATCAAATTAATTTGGTTTTACTGGATATGTCATTTGGACACATTGTAAAACCGCTGGAGCTCCTGCATTATGGGCCCCATCTGGATGGGCCCCAAAGGAGCTGTTTATAGTGTGGGAACTGAAACTGAAGGGGTGCTGAAATCCCAGTCCATGAGGAATGGAACTATTTTCCCTTTGAATAAAGCCTTACTATGAAGTGGAAGATATCTGGGGCTTTTTTTAAAGTGCTTTTGAGCTACTGTAATGTTGGGATGACAGAGTGACATTTGGATAAATATAGTGATTTATTGAAAACAAGGCTTCTGTAAAGAAGCTACTCATAAGTCTTTCCTCTCCTGGACAATATCCCCCCCCCCCCCAAATAAAAGAATAGAGTGCCCATCCTACAGAGGTACAGTAGAATTTACTACCCATGATGTGTGGTTTTTCACTCACTTTGTCTACAGGCATCACATATTCCTTTTTGCAGACTTGTTTTGGGAAACCTTAGCCATAATGGTGTTGATGTCTAGGTGACCCCCAGAATTGCATCATTCTCTTCCTTTTTACTATTGTTAAGTTGAAAAAATCCCCAGAAATCATTAAATGTGGGTAACTAAAAGATCATGCTGTTTGTCTTTTCACAAATGGTTATACGTTGGACTTCCGGTGAGCTGTGATGGCGGTAGGAAGGATGCTTTGAAGCTCCCGGCGCACCAACCGAACTGACGGTCAGGAAGGGCAAAAGGAGCCCCCCTCCCCGGGTGGATTGAAACCGAGGGAGTTGCCAAGTCCAAAGGTGCCACCGACGACCCCATAGAGGTCCTCATCCCTCAAGGGTGAGGGCCCGGTGGGTCCAGGAAAGGCAACCACGGCTACGCTGACCGAGGGACGGGAAGCTGATCATAGATCAGCAATTACTACCAGCCAAGCTCATTTTAAAGGATAAGAAGATTTATCTTTTCACAAAGAGTTATAGGTTGGACTTCCGGTGAGCTGTGATGCGGTAGGAAGGGTGCTTTGAAGCTCCCGGCGTACCAATCGAACCAACAGTCAGGAAGGGCAAAAGGCACCCCTCTCCCCGGTTGGATTGAGACCGGGGGAGTTGCCAAGCCCAAAGGTGCCACCGACGACCCCATAGAGGTCCTCATCCCTCAAGGGTGAGGGCCCGGTGGGTCCAGGAAAGGCAACCACGGCTACGCTGACCGAGGGACGGGAAGCTGATCATAGATCAGCAATTACTACCAGCCAAGCTCATTTTAAAGGATAAGGAGATTTATCTTTTCACAAATGGTTATACATTGGACTTACGGTAAGCTGTGATGCGGTAGGAAGGGTGCTTTGAAGCTCCCGGCGTACCAACCGAACCGATGGTCAGGAAGGGCAAAAGGCACCCCCCTCCCCGGTTGGATTGAGACCGGGGGAGTTGCCAAGCCCAAAGGTGCCACCAACGACCCCATAGAGGTCCTCATCCCTCAAGGGTGAGCGCCTGGTGGGTCCAGGAAAGGTAACCACGGCTATGCTGACCGAGGGATGGGAAGCTGATCATCACCAACCAAACCGATGGTCGGAAAGGGCGAAAGGCACCCCCCTCCCCGGTTGGATTGAGACCGGCGGAGTTGCCAAGCCCAAAGGTGCCACCGACGACCCCATAGAGGTCCTCATCCCTCAAGGGTGAGGGCCTGGTGGATCCGGGAAAGGCAACCAGACCTAGCCCCACAAATATGCAAAAACTACCACCTTGTATTTGGGTGGTCCCATAGTATTTCCACTAAGTAGCACACAACCACTTAAATTCATTCCTGAGAGGAATAATGATGCAATTTCTTCTATTGGCCATACCCTGGTGTTTCCAACTTTTACTGCTTACAGTCCTTTTCTGCTTCCAATCTTAAACCAAAAATTTTGTACACCATATTTATATGCCAATATTTAACTGAGAAATTCTTTTTGGGAGCTTTAAAATCCTCTGACACTGTCCAGATTTCCAGAATGTAGGCCAGAGAGCCATGAACATGTGGAATTCCCTATTAAAATAGTGGTGTCGAGTTACCACAAGACATTCTAGCACTCTACAACATAAAATACGGAAAGGGCTATTTTGAAAGTTCACTGCCAATTGGATTCCCCTTTAAAAAAGGAGATCTTGTTCTGAACAGAAAGCTCTACTAGTTGTTCACTCAGCAGAGGACCTATCCGTAATTCTACATTCTGCAAATTTGGATTTTCCAAACTGTATGCATGGAAGTAAGACAGCATAAAGTAAGCATGTTTTAAGTCCACTCCTCAAAGACATGCATGGCTTCATTATGCAATAAGGACTGGTTGTTTGTAGTTAAGACACCCACTGGAAGAAAGCCAAAAGCCTATAGTGCTGTTCCTCAGGAAAATTTAAGCAGCTGTGGTAATGTAATTCAAAACCTCTCCAACGTTTGCGGCAGTGCTTGTACTCCTTTAGTATACCATGAGTGCTGGATGCCGCCAGACCTCTGCAAGATTCCCTTCCCTTCAGAATGAAAGAGAAAACTGAAATGCAAACCTGGAGGCAGCCTGAAATATCCAAATAGATAAGCTTGTGACATCCTCTTCCAGAGCCAAGGTACTGTAAACCTTTGTCTGTGAATTTTCTGCAGAAAGCTAAACTTAAGTAATGTAAGTTGGGAAAGCCCCTTTACAAGATTAAAAAGAAAGAAAAATAAGTTGTTATGCCAGTATGTACAGATCTCTGGTGCAGGTTGATACCGTAACAAATAAGACAGCTCATATGGGTGGATTCTGAAGTATAGCTGGAGTCCTCTTTTTTTCCTTAATGTAATAGCTGTTGTGCTTCGGTTTACGTTATTGCATGTACTCCGTATTTTTTTATATCAGCACTGACATACACTTATGTAGAAGTAAAACCCACTGCACTGAATGGGATAACTTCTAAATAGGATTTCAGAGAATTGATTTCCACTAAGTAGCACACAACCACTTAAATTCATTCCTGAGAGGAATAATGATGCAATTTCTTCTATTGGCCATACCCTGGTGTTTCCAACTTTTACTGCTTACAGTCCTTTTCTGCTTCCAATCTTAAACCAAAAATTTTGTACACCATATTTATATGCCAATATTTAACTGAGAAATTCTTTTTGGGAGCTTTAAAATCCTCTGACACTGTCCAGATTTCCAGAATGTAGGCCAGAGAGCCATGAACATGTGGAATTCCCTATTAAAATAGTGGTGTCGAGTTACCACAAGACATTCTAGCACTCTACAACATAAAATACGGAAAGGGCTATTTTGAAAGTTCACTGCCAATTGGATTCCCCTTTAAAAAAGGAGATCTTGTTCTGAACAGAAAGCTCTACTAGTTGTTCACTCAGCAGAGGACCTATCCGTAATTCTACATTCTGCAAATTTGGATTTTCCAAACTGTATGCATGGAAGTAAGACAGCATAAAGTAAGCATGTTTTAAGTCCACTCCTCAAAGACATGCATGGCTTCATTATGCAATAAGGACTGGTTGTTTGTAGTTAAGACACCCACTGGAAGAAAGCCAAAAGCCTATAGTGCTGTTCCTCAGGAAAATTTAAGCAGCTGTGGTAATGTAATTCAAAACCTCTCCAACGTTTGCGGCAGTGCTTGTACTCCTTTAGTATACCATGAGTGCTGGATGCCGCCAGACCTCTGCAAGATTCCCTTCCCTTCAGAATGAAAGAGAAAACTGAAATGCAAACCTGGAGGCAGCCTGAAATATCCAAATAGATAAGCTTGTGACATCCTCTTCCAGAGCCAAGGTACTGTAAACCTTTGTCTGTGAATTTTCTGCAGAAAGCTAAACTTAAGTAATGTAAGTTGGGAAAGCCCCTTTACAAGATTAAAAAGAAAGAAAAATAAGTTGTTATTCCAGTATGTACAGATCTCTGGTGCAAGTTGATACCGTAACAAATAAGATAGCTCATATGGGTGGATTCTGAAGTATAGCTGGAGTCCTCTTTTTTTCCTTAATGTAATAGATGTTGTGCTTCGGTTTACGTTATTGCATGTACTCCGTTTTTTTTTATATCAGCACTGACATACACTTATGTAGAAGTAAAACCCACTGCACTGAATGGGATAACTTCTAAATAGGATTTCAGAGAATTGATTTGCTTCTTATATTTTAAATAAAATCTAATTATATATATACATATACATACACACACACGCATATATATATATATATATATATATATATATATATATATATATATAGGTTGTAAATTTCTGAACTAAGATAGAAATACATGAGCCATTAAGAATATTGAAAACAATTTTATACCATTAGCTTCACGCTGATATTATGAGTTGTATGCATTTAAAATCAAAACCCGAACTCTATCAAATGCTGTTAAAAGAACACAAGAATTTTGATCACTGTTAACTCTCCCTTGCTCATGTAATTGTTTCCAGAGTACATCTGGCACATAAAGATTCGAAGCAGCAATACTAAACATGGTTTCCTGGAGGTTAAGCTCCACTGAGGATAAGTAAACAAGTACTGCTTTGCATTGCATGACTTTCTGCAGGAAAGACCTCATTATTCATATTCAATGACAGACAAAGAAAGTGGGTTGGGCAACAAGCAAAGCAGACATATAATACTTTATACTGTTGGCATCAATTCACACATATTTTTACAATGCAAATACAGGAATTTTTCATGATGCACTCAATTACATTGTATAAGTAATGCAATCCTATAATTATGAGAAATGAAAGCCTGCATTTTGAAAATTACAGCTTATCATTAAAAGTAGACACTGTGATCCAAAAAAAAACTATTTTAGGAAAATAATTCACAAGTCAGCAAAAAGTAGACATTGGAAGGGATCATCCATAATAATGAAAATGTACAGTTCAGCGGAAGGGTAATGTCTATTAGGAAAGCACAACTATTACTTAGAAAGAGATTTGTGGTCAAATTTAGACTAACTTTTTTATTTTAGTATAAATAAAGACGTTTTTACCTTGGTAGAAGTCTTAGTGTCCCATTTGTAATATCAGTGTGTGACAAATTAAGGTAAAGGAGAGCTGGACAACCTTCTGATACAAGTCTCATTAATTCATCCTGTTCCGTAATGAAAACCACATATGGAATTAGTTTTAACTTTTAAAAGTGGGATAAGGAGCATTTTCTGTTGCATGCTGTACTTTGGTGATTAGAACTCTTATAAAGATCCTGTATAACTATTGCATGTGCATGTCATTATCCATAAAATCTGTTACAACCAAAATCTGGACGGAATTCAACATATAAATGCAACCAAAATTACTTGGCACCGCAAAAGGATTGCCGTTCTGTAACTAGGACCATCTTTTCTGGAATATAAACAATAAGACATATGTCTTCATGCATAATAATAGGTGGTACATCTGAATGGCAATGTTTTTATTTCAGTAGAGGGGCACAGTCCTGAGTAATTTACTTCCAGTTATTAACAGCTGTCAACGTTGACCTGCCTAATCACATGTGCAGCCACTTTTTGTACTTCTTGGCCCACTCCTGTTCAGAAGAGGGAACTACAAGCAAATTGAAAAGTCTGAGAATCTGAATCTCAGAAGTAGAATATTCTCTAACACAGTGGTTCTCAACCTTCCTAATGCCGCAACCCCTTAGTACAGTTCTTCATGTTGTGGTGACCTCTAACCATAACATTATTTTGTTATAATTTTGCTACGGTTATGAATCGTAATAGAACTATCTGCTATGCAGGATGTATTTTCATTCACTGGACCAAATTTGGCACAAATATCCGATATGCCCAAATTTGAATAATGGTGGGTTTGGGAGAGGTATTAGTCTTGTCATTTGCGAATTGTAGTTGCTGGGATTTATAGTTAACCTACAATCAAAGAGCATTCTGAACTCCACCAACAATGGAGTTGAACCAGGATTGTGGCGCAGCTGGCTGAGTGTCAGCTGCATTAAAGATCACTCTGACCAAAAGGTCATGAGTTCGAAGCCAGCCCGGGTTGGAGTGGGTTTCCAACCAATTGTGTAGCCTGTTGTTGACCTTTGCAACCCGAAATACAGTTGCATCTGTCAAGTAGGAAAATTAGGTACCACCTTAAAGTGTGGGGAGGCTAAATTAACTAATTTATGAGGACATAAAAAAAAGACTCCAGCAAAGCACTCCAGCAAAAAAAGCATGCGGGGAATGCGGAAGTACTTCATCAGTGTTGCAGATGGACTATGGAAGCGACAGCTCCGCTGGTGGCCAGAAAAAGTTAAATATAGTCTCTGTGTATGTTTGTATATGTTGTATGTTAAAATTGGCATTGAATGTTTGCCATATATGTGTACACTGTAATCCGCCCTGAGTCCCCTGCGGGGTGAGAAGGGCGGAATATAAATGCTGTAAATAAATAAATAATAAACTTGGAACTCAGAACCCCCATGACCTATAGAAAATATTGGAAGGGTTTGGTGGGCATGGTCCTTGAGTTTTGGAGTTGTAGTTCACCTACATCCAGAGAGCACTGTGGACTCAAACAATGATGGATCTGGACCAAACTTTGCACAAATACTCAATATGCCCGAATGTGAACACTGATAGAATTTGGAGAAAATAGACCTTGTCATTTGGGAATTGTAGTTGCTGGGATTTATAGTTTACTTACAATCAAATATCTAGCTGATTACCTTCTCCAAGACTATATTAGCGAAAGGAAAAGTTACTATACAACGGGTCAAAGCAGAAGGACATGGGAAGCAAAATGGAAGGGTCTCATTTACAGAATAAAGGGAAAAGATAAATAAGACTATTCTCATGATTGAACAATTTAATAAACACAGCAAAAGTATTTAACTGTTCCTGGGCAGGGGGGGGGGGGGTGGGGTGGTGGGATTGGGAAAAATACTAGTATTTTGAATGTTAATTTCAAAGATGGTATGTTTTTATGTATTATACAATAATTTTACAATCAAACAGCATTTTGAACCCCACCAATGACAGAATTGGGCCAACCTTCCCACATAGAACCCCCATCACCAACAGAAAAGACTGTGTTTTCTAATGGTCTAGGGCAGGGGTCCACAAACTTTTTAAACAGAGGGCCAGGTCACAGTCCCTCAAACTGTTGGAGGGCCGGATTATAATTTGAAAAAAAATATACATGAATTCCTAAGCACACTGCACATATCTTATTTGTAGTGCAAAAACACTTAAAAACAATACAATAATTAAAATGAAGAACAATTTTAACAAATATAAATTTATTAGTATTTCAATGGGAAGTGTGGGCCTGCTTTTGGCTGATGAGATAGGATTGTTGTTGTTGTGTGCTTTCAAGTCATTACAGACTTAGGTTGACCCTAAGCGAGGGCCGGGTAAATGACCTTGGAGGGCCGCATTCGGCCCCTGGGCCTTAGTTTGAGGACCCCTGGTCTAGGGCAACCTCTCTGACACTCCCTTGCGACCCCCGCCCAGGGGTCCCACCCCACAGGTTGAAAAACGCTGCTCTGATATGTCATGAAAGGGAATGATTTTCATAGTTGCCCTTATCTCCTTTAGCATTCTCACAGAAAGGAATTTGTTCTTATTGCTCTTGCTAACTTGAATGTAATCAAAATTCATGAATGGGAAACTGCTGAAAGGCAAAGGGAGTTGGAAAGGCAGCAGTACTGGCATGGTACTTTACATGAGTGGGAATACTGCTTTCACAAGTTGTTTCTGCACCAGTCCCCTTAAGAAAGGCTTTTGAGGAAACACGGGAGGAGGCATAGAATTCCTTGGCACAAGGTTCTTTTTTTACAACCACCACTTTGGGTAATGTCTATCACTGAATGTGAAATGTCCACATGCTCGTAAAATCAGCTTATAAACTTACAGCTAAAGGGCTGTTCTTGTCTACTAGTGGAAAACACCCCTCTTATCATTAGTATTTGCTGAAAGATTGTGGAACTGAGACATTTCTCAGTTCAATTAGTTCCATTTGTGTTTAGTTTGATCTCCCCTAAAGCCAAGGTGAGCAGATAACCATATGAATGGTGAAGGGATTTCTTGAAATGTAGGCTGATGCTGGATGGAAACTGGAAAGCTGTCCAAGACAGCCCCCGTGAGGCTGGGGAGTTAACTAGTGTTATAATATGTATAGTGTGCCAGGAAACCACTGTCTATGTTCAATCCATTATTGATGGAGTGGAGTTTGTGGGTATATTCCAATTATGCTGTTTTTCTTTCCAATCTTCCTTTGTAGATTTTTTGCTCAAGGACTGTTGTTCTGAGGTTCAAGATGGAATGCCCAGGAAGAACGAAATATCCTACAATTGGTTTTGTGTAGCCCTATTGCTAATTATTAATTTATGTCAATTTATTTTCTACTTGGAGACTGGCCTGTTCACTCAATGTAGAGTGCTGTAGGGCATTGTTGACAGAGGATAGCATATATAGCATTAATAGATTGGCAAGTGTCAGTACCTCTGATATTGCAGAAAATATAATTATGTCCTCTGATGACATTTCCAGAGTAGATGTGTGGACATCTGGATTTGTGACAAGGTCTTGTATCTCTTTTCCCATCTCTACTGTATGCCGTCTAGTAAGTAAAGCAATTGGTTGGAACTAGAAAGTTGTGTGAAGCCAATACAGAGGGCAGTATTATTGTCCAGAATAAGTTGTAGTACACTGATGACACCTCAGAGTGGTCCAAGTTGGGAGGTTTGTGTACCCACTGCCATTTTCTGCATTTCAGTCTGCTCTGTAATATATTACTTGCTTCGTTGGTTTGATTTTTTAATCCACATGGTGGGTACTGTAGCTTGAGGAGTACTTGTAATTCCATGAGTTTGGTGTCTTGTGGATCTATCAGATGACATTGTATCCTAGGATTTGGCCATAAACTAAGATATGGTAGTGTGTTCAGTGTGACAACTGAAGGAATGTGGTCCCTCACTTATCACGGGTGTTACGTTCCAGGACCACCCGAAATAAGTGAAATTCCGCAAAATAGAGACGCTTCCTCACCTTCCTTCCTTGCCCTCTTTACCTTCCTCTTCTTCCCCATTGCCACCTGGGCCTCTTGCCACCACTTAGGCCTCATGACGCCTCCTCAATCGCAGGGCCAAAGTGGCAGCAAGAGAACCAGGCAGTGACGAGGAGGAGGAAGAAAAAGGTAAGGAGGGTGAGGGGGTAGCTCTTCTTCCTTCCTCATCCTCCTTACTTTCCTCTTCCTTGTCGCCTGGGCCTCTTGCCGCCGCTTGGACCCTGCGATGCCTCCTCAATCCTCAGTGTTCCCTCACTACTTAAATTCTTTTTTTTTTAAACCCTGCAAAACAGTAAGTCCGCGGTAAGCGAACCGCAATGTAGCGAGGAACCACTGTATGTGTAGTGGTCAATGGGTGCGCAATGTAGTGTTTAGATGTATAGCTAGCTGTACAGTGGTGTCCACAAAATGAACGATGAATATGAGATTGTGGTAGGTTAGACATTGTTGACATTCTGGTGGAAGATCTTGAATGAATCATCTCCATGAATCCAAATTATAAAGTACCTCAGGTAAAGAAGGTTTTTTGAGTGCTGGAGTTAAAATTCACATATTGTGATGCTATATGTTGCCAATGGCAATTAACTTAAAGGTTTATGTTATGACCAAAAATGCAGTTGCTCTATGTGAAAACAAAGTGGTCTCCTCTGGTCCCATCTAAAATTATGTTTTTGGTAGCTTGTGTGGTATTTGGGTACCTCCGCAGTGGCTAACATGATGTTCCAGGGAAGGTTAAGGATAAACTGTAATTTCTGTAGGACGTCTGTAGGATCTTTCACATCGTTGGAAGTGTTGGTGGTATGTGATTAAAAATATTGCCCATATATCCAGAAGCACCAATGATGTTAGGTTATGCAGGGCTGAGTATTTTGGGAAGTAGATAAGCATGTTGCTGATCAAGGGTCCTGGGGCATGTCATTTGGATTGGTTCTGCACCCTCTAGCATTCATTTGTGGGATCTTTAGGATTCTGTAAAATGCAATATTGAACAATTGCCTCTCAGCCTCTTGTGTGTAATCAGATCCAAACACAATCTCTACAGCTCCTCCTTTGTTAGCCTTGTTGATGACAATTTTAGAATTATTCCCGAGAATGTATTGTTTCTTGCAGCTGAGATTATGTGATAAATTACATCTCTTACTTCTGTCTGTGGAAAAGAAATATGACTAGGAAAAATTTGACTAGCTTCCAGAGATAAAACTATCTTGGCACATGTCTGACTTCAACTAGAAGGGAATTTTACAAAGAGGGCTGACACAGCAGAAGCTATACTCTTGGTGGTCTGTAACTGGGCCTCACAGACATGCAGAATGAACAGAAGCATTTCTTCCAGTAATCTCAGACTGTCCAGATTAAAAACACCTCTCTTGTATTCTGTTCTACATTGTTTAAAACTTTATATATCAATACAATAACCTTAAAACTGCCCTGTTAGCAAAGAAAGGCTCATGCAATTCTTTTAGATAGTAAAAAGCAGTCTTTAACAGTTATACAGCAGTTTCCCCAAGTACAGGGACCAGGAGCAGTCTGATACCATTTAAGCCTCAGAAGCAGATATATACCTAGGACATGGCTGGGTATCATTCATCACCAACCCCACATTCCATCATTGCAAAATTGGTTGAATTTTTGTTTTCCAAATACGTTTTCACCAGACATAGGGTGTAACTGAATGAAGGAGATTCTATCTGAACATTAGGAAGAACTTCCTGACTGTGAGAGCTGTTCAGCAGTGAAACTCTCTGCCCCGGAGTGTGGTAGAGGTTCCTTCTTTGGAAGCTTTTAAACAGAGGCTGGATGGCCATCTGTCGAGGGTGCTTTGAATGCAATTTTCCTGCTTCTTGGCAAGGGTTTGGACTGGATGGCCCATGAGGTCTCTTCCAACACTATGATTTTATGATTCTAGGGTGTCTGAGGGATGGATATGCTATTTTGAGCTGAGAGAGTTTTTTCCAATGCCAGAAGTGACTTCTGGTTCATTTCTTATAATATTATTATTAGCTTGGGGATGCGGTGGTGCCCGGATTATTTGAAAAGGGCATTGTTTGTTTTGGGGTGTTAGGTAATATCATTTAATTAATTAGTAATACCATTTATTAGGAAAAAGCCAATATTTGATTTCGTTTTTTATGAATGCTCCTATTAGAAAATAATGTGGGTGAACTACAAATCCCAGAATTGTGGGTCAATGCTCCCCAAACCAGGCCTGTATGCACAGTTGGTCATGTTAGGTGTGTGCCAAGTTTGATCCAGATCTGTTGTCGGCTGGGTTCAATGCTCTTTGGATAAGAGAGAACTACAGCTCCCATATGCCAAGGGCAGTCACCCCCAAATCCTGCCAGTATTTACAGTTGGCCATGTTAGGTCTGTGTGCCAAATATGGTCCAGATCTGTTGTCGGCTGGGTAGAGGGCTCCGTCATTCATGGAGGTTGCAATGGTCTCTGGAAGTGTGAGTGAAGGTACTGCAAGTCTCATCATCTGTGGCAAGTTTGGTCTAGATCCATCATTGCTTGGGTTCACAGTGCTCTCTGGATTAGGTGAACTACAACTCCTATAAATCAAGGTCAATTCCCCACAAACCTGGTCATGGGGATTCTGCGTGCCAAATGTGGTCCAGGTCTATTATCGAAGGGGGTCACAATGGCTGCTTTGATGCAGGGTGAACTACAACTTCCATCCTGTTGAGTTAGTCCCCCAAACCACTCCAGTCTGTTCAGTTGCTGATCAATTCCTCTGTTTGCTGTGTGCCATAGGAAAGGGTAGGAAAGGGTTAAGGGAGAGGCAGTGGAGGGTCAAAATTCCAAAAAACAAAAATAAAAAAAAAAAAAAAAAAAGAATCTAGATGAAGATATTTCATGTAGTAACTAATAACAAAAAAAAAAAGGAAAAAAATTTAAATCTGTGATTAAATACAAAAACAAACAAAATACAAAAAAAAAAAAATATACAAAAAAAAAAAAAACTAAAGAAAAAAGGGAAAAAAATCAAAAAAAACAAAAAAAAAAAAAAAATAAAAAAAAAGGGGGGGCCTTAATAAAAAAAATAGGAAAAAAAAAAATTATAAAAAAAAAAAAAAAGAAAAAATTGATGAAGGAAAAAATTAAAATAAACAAAAAAAAAAAAAAATACAAAAAAACTGATTATAAAAAACGAAATAAATTAAACAACAAAACAAAAAATTAATATAATAACATACGAAAAAAAAAAAAATAACCTAAAAAAAGGTAAACACAAACCAATAATACTATAAAAACATACAAAAAAATACAAAGGGTAAATAAAGGGTAACAAAAACAATCATAGGAAAGGGTAGGAAAGGGTTAAGGGAGAGGCAGTGGACAGGGTCATGCACAGTCCACACAAGGAACCTTGGGATGCCTGCCTGTGGTGGAGGAAACACATCAAATCTAGAATGAAACTGTCCCTGAATGAAAGCATTCCTTGGGTGGTAGACCGTAGTGTTTGGGGAGGGCATTGACAACATTTGGGCTACATGTTCATGTTGCTCGCTATAACCCACAATGTCAGTTGAGGGAGTGCCTCTGGAGGCTTCTTAGCAGTTGGAACCATAGCTTGTTTATGGAAGTGGGAGGCTGTCTGTGTAAATGGACACCTCCACCATATACACACATACACATTTTTTTTACTTTTATTATGTGTATAGATTATTGATTTTATACAGTTCACTTATTTTGGGGAAAAAACCTTCCTTGGACCTAATATGGTTGGAGCTCCCACAATAGCAATATTGCCTCCCACACAACTGTCAGAGAGACAGGGGCATAATGAGTGAAAGCATTCTTGATAATTGTTGAAAAGTTTGGAGTGTGCACTGTGGACAGGAGTACATATAATATCTTCTGTAGCTTTCCTCCGCTGTGGGATTTTCTTCAATCTTATTGCTTTCCATTAAAATGCCATCTTATTTGGATTCATAATTATGGAAATGGCCAAGAGCATAGGTATCATTTGTCTCTCCAGTTGGTGTGACAGATTGTTCAGGGAAAAAAAACTGTGAGGTTAGTCTGGCATAGAATCACTGCACATTTGTCTAGGAGCATTTCTACAAAGCATCTTTTATACTGATTTCGATTAAAACATTTCAACACCATCAGTTTGTAGTAATAGTATAAATATGAAAATATGGTAATCACTATAAAGCTGATTTTTACTTTCAGCATTCAATGTTTATGTCTTTCTATTAACAAAGATACCTAGTAGGAAGGAAGTCTGAAAACAGAATAGCAGACTATGCAGTCAAATGGCGTTCAGAAACAAACTTTCTTTTAAGATAATATTTTGGTAACTGTTCTTACTTTAGAAATAAAAACTAGAAGTACAGTCTATTATTTCCAACTTTTACTAAAGACATATCACATTTGTAATATTAATACTTACATTTAAACCTTGACATTCAGAGACGTTTAACTCTTGCAGATTTGAACACTGAGCTAAAATATAAATTCATAATCTGAATTATATGAAAAGCATTATATTGTATTTAGATATTTTCTGTAACATCAATCTCAAATTTGGAATACAAGGGGAAATATTGCTGTAAAGAAAAATTACACAACACCAGGAAGTCTGGTTCAGCCAAAATTATATTATATACAAGAAAATCCATCACTTATTATGATGTGATTCACTTCCAAGTTCCAAGTAAACATGTGTTGCATTGCATGGTAACAATACAATCTGTACTTTTGTACTCAGTTGAAGGTCCTTTAAGTTAAATCGGATTTATCTCAGAAAAGTGGGTATGGGATTGCAGTCATGTTCAAGGCACACCCATCAGAATAAATGAGGCTTGCATTAGTCAATAATTAGCCATTAATTAATTAATTAGCCATTAATTAGCCATTACCGCTCAAGCAGGGAGCTTTGAGATGGTTGAACAGAAGCTCTCTGAAGCTCTAGGTGCTCTTACTGTCTATTACAGGGAAAACCAGCTGATCCCTAATCCATCTAAAACACAGACATGTGCTTTTCACCTTAAGAACAGACCAGCATCCCGAGCTCTGAGGATTATCTGGGAAGGAATCCCACTGGAGCACTGCAGTGCACCCGAATACCTGGGAGCCACTCTGGACCGTGCTCTGACCTACCTGAATATCAAGCAAAAAGTGGGCACTAGAAACAATATCATACGAAAGCTGATTGGCACAACCTAGGGATCACAACCAGACACAGTGAAGACATCTGCCCTTGCGCTATGCTACTCTGCTGCTGAGTATGCATGTCAAGTGTGGAACACATCACACCACGCTAAAACAGTGGATGTGGCTCTTAATGAGACATGCCGCATTATCACGGGGTGTCTGCACCCTACACCACTGAAGAAATTACACTGTTTAGCCAGTATTGCACCACCTGACATCTGCCGGGAAGTAGCAGCCAATAGTGAAAGGACCAAGGCAGTGACATCTCCAGCTCATCCCGTTCAGGTATCAGCCAGCACGTAAATGACTTAAATCTAGAAATAGTTTTCTAAGATCTACAGAGACACTCAGTGGAACACCTCAGCAAGCGAGAGTCCAAAAGTGGCAGGCTCAAACCCAGAACCTCAATCAATGGCTGATACCAAATGAGAGACTTCCCCCCCCCCTCCCTGGGCACACAGAAAACTGGGCGTCTTGGAAGGTGCTGAACAGACTATGCTCTGGCACCACGAGATGCAGAGCCAACCATAGGAAATGGGGCTACAAGGTGGAATCCACAACATGCGAGGGTGGAGAAGAGCAAACTACAGACCACCTGCTGCAATGCAACCTGAGCCCTGCCACATGCACAATGGAGGACCTTCTTATAGTAACACCAGAGGCACTCCAAGTGGCCAGCTAATTGGTCAAAGAACATTTAATCAACTACCAAGCTTGCAAACTTTGTGTTTTGTTTGTTTGTTTGTTAAAAAAGCAATACAACTGTTTGGTTTGCTCCTGACACGATAAATAAATTAGTCATTAATAACTTTTCATTTGATGAGACTTATCAAAAATGCTTGGAGGACTTTTTCTAATTATAAAATAACCATGTTTTATATACATAGTGAATGAGGCTGTTGGGGAAAGGGGCTAGTCATACATCCAGTGCCTGTTGAGTTTCTTCTCAAGGGTTGCTTTCCAGCACATTTTCCTCCCTTTTAGCATAGAAGTTGGGAAGAAAGAGGAAAATCTTTCCCAATCCCTGACCCTCCTGTCAGTCTATTTCATTCTTTCTGCACTGGATACTGATGGCAGCCAATGGGGTTACTCCATGCCTGCCCTTGCAGCTTTTTGCAGGGGGCCCACCATCTGGGTGGAAGGCAAACATGGAAGACACTTGGGTACCTGCTTTTTTGGAGGGGGCTTGTGTAAATGAAGTTCTTTCCCTTCCTTCATATTTTCTTCTTGCTGGTGAGAGTGTGAGACTGGCAGCAAAGATGTTAGGGTTTTGGTTTTTTTTAGTATTTTGAATAAGGGAGACTCAACTTGTAAAGTAAAATCTCTGTATAGCGCTGGAAATAAAACTTGAGTTTGTTTCATAAACAAATTAATCAAACATAACTTTAGAAGCTTTTCTTCATTGTGTTCAGTGCCTCTGGGAGGCCTTTAATTGAAATTACACAAGCTGTGTTTATACTTCCTATGAAAAGAGCAATTTTGTTTTTTGCAGAAATAATCAATGATGTATAATTATTGCTCTGTTAATACTAATTCTCAAGTGTTGACAGGCTTCACTTATGAGATTTGGACAAGTACAGTATGAATATTATCCTCTGAAACGGTCACAAGCAGATATTAACCTTCAGAGTACATGAACCCGAGTCCCCCTGATTAACAATTCCAAGTTTGGATACAGCACTTGAAAACTGTTGTTACTGTTATTTTATTTTATTTTTTTGCTGCATAGATAAAGTTTATTATAAATGCTGTCTAGATCAACAATGGAAGATCTCCTACCAGCCATTTAGGTGACAAGGCTCAGTCTGTGTAGGACAAGCAGCTCTGGGCCCTTCTACACTGCCATATAATCCAGAATATCAAGGCAGATAATCCTCACTATCTGCTTTGAAATAAACTATCTGAAGCCCCTTTTCACTGCTATATAAAATCCAGATTATCTGCTTTGAACTGGAGTATCTTGCAGTTTAGACTCATATAATCCAATTCAAACCAGACAATGTAAATTATCTGCATTGAACTGGATTATATATTTTAAAAAAATATTAATTTTTCATACAGATAACAAAACAATACAATACGAACCTTAGCCATCTAAAAGATAACATCAAAAACTGTTTACAATTTTTATGGCTAGGATAAATCAAATTAAATCAATGTATTGATTCAAGTAACCCAGATGGGGGTGAGAGGGAGGTAGGAAATGGGTGGTAAGTGTGGGTGGGTGGGATGGGTTTTTTAGAGGGGTTAGCAATCAAGATATATGGTAAAGGGAAGCACAATTGGAACCTGTATCCTAACTGTTATTACTGTTAACCATTTATCTATTGAATGAAAATTCCCACCTTTAAAAAAATCTCATTCTGTTCCATATGCATACAAACCGCTTTGTTAAGCTGCTTTGAGTCCCCTTTGGGGAGATAAAGCAAGGTATAAATAAATACAACAACAACAACAACAACAACAACAACACAAATGAATGGTAGAAGAAGGGAAACATGCACTGGCAGATGATGTGAAAGGCAGTCAAGAACCAACACTGATGGAAGCCAATAGTCGCCCTAGGGCTGAGAGCGGCGGTCAACAAATGCAATAAATGCAATAGTAGAAAACTGCCTAAAGTGCAAAAGACAAAGAATGAATACCGTAAAAACATAATCCAGAGCAGAAGAGAAAACATGCGAGTGTGGAGAGGAGCAAACCACTGACCACCTGATGCAATGCAACCTGAGCCTTGCCACATGCACAATGGAGGACCTTCTTGCAGCAACACCGGAAGCACTCCAAGTGGCCAGATACTGATCAAAGGACATTTAATCAACTACCAAACTCACAAATTTTGTATTTTGTCTGTTTGTTTGCTTTGTTCTGTTAGAAATGTAATATAATTGACTGGTTGCCCTGACACGACAAATAAATAAATAAAGAAGAGAAATCTGGCAAAAGAAGGCTCTCTGTGGACAGTTCCTGGGAAAAATTGAGAATGAAACTGACAAGGAAAAAATATGGATTAGGCTCCCAAACTGAACTTTGAAAAAGGAGACGGAGGGCCTGATTCTTGCAGCCCAAAAACAGGCAATTAGAACCAATGTAATCAAAGCCTGAATTGAAAAGTTGACAACAGATTCCAAATGCAAGGAAGCAGACGAAACGATGGATCACATACACAGTTGTTGCAAGAAGACTGCGCTGACAAATTATAAGCAAAGGCATAATATTGTTGCTCAGATTATCCATTGGAACTTGTGCCACAAATACCATCTGCCTGCGACAAAAAATAAATAAATGGTGGGATCACAAGCTTGAAAAAGTTACACAACATGAACTCAAACTATTCTGGGACTTCTGAATTCAGACTGACAGAGTTTTGGAGCACAATACTTCTGACCTCACAATCATGGGGAAAAAACCAAAGTATGGATTGTAGATGTTGCAATCCCGGGTGACAGCAGAATTGATGAGGAGCAACTGGAAAAGCTTACACAATATGAAGATTTAAAAATAGAAATGCAAAAACCCTGGCTCAAGCCAGTAAAGGTGGTCCCAGTGGTGACTGGTAAACTGGGTGCAATGCTTAAAGGCTTTGGCTTGCACTTCAAAACAATCAGTGCAGACAAAATTACTATCTGTCAGCTGCAAAAGGCCACCCTACTTGAATCTGCATGCATTATTTGCCGATACATCACACAGTCTTACACACTTGGGAAGTGTATGGCGTGTGATCAAATACAAAAGGCAGCATAGTGATCTTGTTTGCTGTGTACTAATATTGTTTATTTATTATTTAAAACATTTATATTCCGCCCTTCTCACCCCGAAGGGGACTCAGGGCGGAGCACAGCATTTACACGGCATTTACATGGCAAACATTCAATGCCGGGACACAAATTCACATACAATACATAAACATTAAAAAACATTTATCAAAATATTAAAATACACCATTTAAAGCCGTCCTAGTCATCCGCATCAAATCTAATTGGCCTGGTCCTCTTTCCTATTGCTGCTTTATTGCCCTGTCCCAAAACCTTGGTCCCACAGCCAAGTTTTTACCATCCTTCTAAAGGACAGGAGGGAGGGGGCTGACCTGATCTCACCAGGAAGGAAGTTCTATAGCCAGGGAGCAATCACCGAGAAGGCCCTGACTCTCATCCCCACCAGTTGCACCTGTGAAAATGGCGGGACGGAGAGCAGGGCCTCCCCGGGAGAGATGCGTTCGGACAGGTAATTTGTTGTGTGTCAAATAATAATAGATCTGGCCTCTTTTTCCTTTAATACATCTCACACCT